ACTTGTTTTCTCAAAGGACCCTAAATTAAGGATTTCACGGCTCAGCCAAGCCACGGAGCCAAACACTTAGTGAAAGCTGCTGTGGGAGCCCGTGAGCTTGGAGAGCAGGGCCAAGCCAATCGCTCCTCCCCATCTGGGAGGAGGCCTCCTCTCCTAAGGAAGGGACCCGGAGGGGAGCAGATCTATCTCCAAGGCTGGGGGTGGGCTTCCCATCCCAGACCCTCCAGGAGAGCTCCGCTGGAGAAGGCGAGGGGAGGTGACCAAGAGACGTTGCTGAATTGATGCCTGAAGATGAGGCTGCTGAGGAGGGTACCCCACGGCCGAGGCAGCCAAGGACCAGCTCTGTCTCTCCCAAGTTCTGTGCTCCCGGACCATCCTTCCAGGAAGGTTCTAAGAGGGGTGGACAGCTCCTGCCATCTCTGGATGGAGTGAACTGTAGCCTGTACAACCCTGTTCACCCACCACAGAGCGGCGTGGGGTGGGGATGGAAGGTGGCACGCTGTCACCCACCGAACTGAAGACATACAGACAATGCGCAGGATACGGGGTCCTCAGAGGCAGCCAGGTTTCCCAGAACCTCAGGTGTCTGCGGATGAACAGGGTTTTGAATTCCATCCGAAAGCCCCAGGGCCTTCGTTCCTTGTCTCTGCCTGCCTTCTTGGTTGTTTTTGGCCAGGTTTTGAGCTGGGAAGCCATTTACAGCCCATTAAAAGATCAAATGTCTGGAGATGATGAATCGTGGCATTTGAAAATGTTTTAGAATTCACAGCTCATTTCTCCATGCAAAGCCCTGACCCAGTGTGATTCAGAGATGGCTGGACAGTCTGTCTGTTCCAGACCGCTGGGGGCAGATCTCGGGGTGGAGTGCTGTCCTTGGATTGGACCGTGGTGCGTCCCGAAGAGACTCATACTGAGATGGGGCTGCTGTTCCCTGGAAGAAACGGAGGAAGGGCTCCGGAAGGTGATGTCTCATACATGTCCCAGACCCGGTTTCCCTGAGCCACAGGCAGAGGCAGGAGTCTAGGTTTGTAGGTGCTGGTCCCCTGGGCAGGTAGGCTGGGTCCTCTTCCCAGCCCAGGCTCCCGTTTCAGCTATGGGCAATGAGGTTGAACCTTCCAGTATTTCTTTTCCCAGCTGCAAAATAGGAAGGACAAGCCTTAGGCTCTTATAAACATGGTGGGTCCCAGGAGCCAGCTAATCAAGACTTTTCGGTTTGTAGTGAGGCCGGTTTACATACCACTAACCTGGATGTGCTTGTCGAGAACTCACAACACCTTGAAAGGTAGCATTTTTCATTGAACGGAGGCTCAGCGAGGGCATATAACTTTGCTCAAGTCACACAGAAAGTTGGTGGTGGAACCAGGTTTTGAATGAAGTCTCCTGGTGCCATTGGGGAGAGGGGTCGACTTTTGTCTACTTTCTCATTTTCTTCTCTGGTATTTTTGACTGTGCCAATATTGGTAATTATACTGAGTGGCCAGATTATTATGACCACCTGACGTTTGTAGGCAAATTAACCACACACTGCATTGTATGGGATATGGAAGCCGAAGGCCTGTTCGAACACCTTTGCTGTATACAGTTACCAAGATAGAGTGTCTCCAATTCACACAGGAACACAAGGATTGGACAGTTGAGCATTGGAATAACGTCATGTGGTCCGATGAATCACGTTTCCAGTTGCATCATGCAGATGGCAGAGTGAGAATTTAGGGGAAACAGCATGAAAGCATGTACCTTACATGCATGAGTCCAACCTTTCAAGCTGGTGGGGGCAGTGTTATGGTTTGGGGCATGTTTTCCTGGCATGATTTGGGCCCTTTAATTCATGTGGAACAACATCTGAATAGCACAACATACCTAAGTATTGTTGCTGATCAAATTCATCCTATCATGTTGATGGCGTATCCCAATGGAGATGGCTTCTTCCAACAAGACAATGTGCCATGCCATGGTGCTCGTATTGTGCAGGAGTGGTTTCAAGAACATAAGGGAGGCTTTACCTTGCTTAGGTGGCCCCCAACATCACCAGATCGCAATCCAATTGAACACTTGTGGGACGCAGTTAAAAGAGCCATCAGGCAGCTGGTTCCACAACCATCTCACAGAACTGGACAGTGTTATTCATCAGGCATAGTGTCAGATTCCTCGCATCACTTTCAACATCTTGTGGAATTAATGCCTAGAAGAATCGCCACAGCATTGAAGGCAAAAGGTGGCCCAACAAAGTATTGATGGGGTGGTCATAATAATCTGGCCACTCAGTGTATATTTTCATAGAAAATTGTTAAGATTTTGCTGTAAGATCATACATAATATCCTATATAATAAAAGTATAATATGCAAATTGACCAAACGGCGGAACAGTGGAACAACCATCCAGACAACCATCAGGACAACCATCTGGGAACATGCTATGAAACCCAATGGTGCCAGGCCAGTCAAGGAGGGTGCGATGTGATTGGTTGGGGGCCCAGCCATTTACCCATGATTGCCCTGCAGAGGGAGGCCCAGGCCACTGACCAGCGGGCTGCTGCGGGTGGGTGGGTCCTCCCTCTGTGAGGGAATCCTGGATCTGGGTGCCAGCAGCCAGAGGAAGAAAGGCCTATTCTTGCATGAATTTTGTGCATTGGGCCTCTAGTTTACTTATAATTTCTAATCTCTTTTTTTGAAATTATATTTCTTGTTTTTAATGTCTGTGCCCATTAAGAATTTTAATGTCTGTTTCTCATTAAGAATTGCCTATTAGAATTTTTAAAAAACCTGGTTTTGGTTTTGTTGATTCACTTTTTAAAGTAATCTATTTAATTAATTTCTGCTTACATCTTTCTCAGTACCTTTCTTTTCCTTTATACGTACACTGCCTTCTAATTGCTTTATTTTCTGTAGTTACTATCTTGCTTTCTTAGCATTTTATTGGGTTAATAGAATTTTCTGTTTTACTTTTTTAGTGTGGTTGGTCAGTTTTGTGTCCTCTTTCTTGCCTTGCTAATATTTATCTTCAAATTCAAGAATATGTTTAATTGTATACCTTTCTACTACATTGAAAGTTGCACAGCTTTTATATCCTTTCCTGAGACAAAAATCTCAGCAACTTTTGGTTCTTTCTGCCCCCTCTTTGCCATCTTCCATATTACAATCATCTTGGATTTTAGATCTAGGCTGTTTTAAGTCTTATTATTGTTTCTTTGTTCATAACTGCTTCTCACATTTCATATGTTCATCTTATGTCCTTTATTTGATTTTGTTGCAATACTTCCTTTAGTAATTCCTTCAGAAAAGGTGACTGGTAACTTTCTAATTTCTTGTGCACCTAACAATGTCTTTATCTCACTGTTGCCTTTGCAGGAAAGTTTGCCTAGGTATAGAATTCTGCTTTTAAGGATTTCCTCTAGGAGCTTTGAAGTACTTGTGTTGCTCTAGTCTTGATTCTGATGTTGCTAATAAGAAATCTAATTCCAATTGGTTGTATTAGGTAATCTGATTTTCTTTTTATAGCATTTAGTAGTTTCTCTTCATCCTGAGTGTTCTGAAATTCCACCACAACCTGTTCGTTTTTGTTCATCTTGCTTAGCATTCAGTGGGCCCTTTCAAATTAAGACCACAGTCTCTTTATTTTTCAGACATTTTCTTAATATTTCTTCAGCTTTATCCTTCCCTTTGTTTCCTCTGATCTCCCCTTCTAGAACTGCCTTCTAGGCTGCTTACCTTTGCCGCCACCTTTTCTATCTCTTTTTCCCCCTCTGCTGTGCATCCTTGTAAAGTTCATGGCTTAAATTTCCAGCTCATCAGCTTTACCTGTATTCATTCTGTTTCTCAGACAAATTGTAGAGCCTTTTGTTTTCATAATCATACATTTCATTTCTAAGATGTCTATTTTTTAATTTCATAATATTTTTTTATGAGTGAGAAATTCTCTTGTCTCTTTGAGGACGTTAATTATACTTTAAAACTTGTTATCATTTATTTGCTTTATTAATTATTGTTTTTCCTGAGGTGTGATTTATTCTGTGTTGAGTTGGTGCCTTTTTTCCATGGTGTTAGCCTTTTTTTTTCTCAAATAATTTGAAATTCTTTGTATGTGGGGTTTTCCATTAGTTGTCTCTATTTCTTTGTTTCCTGCTACATTGCCTTTTGGAGAGTCGGTGGCATAAGTGATAGAGAGTGTGCAAGAATTCATTGATCTTGAGAGGGTCCCAGTTTCTCCAGGATGTCATCAGCTTTTTAGGCATTCTAACCACCCTGTCTCAAACAGGTATATCCCATACCTGATTCTTGATACCAGCAGGGGTGGGTATTTGAGTCCTATCTGTCTGGTTCCTTCCACTGTGGTCCTCTGACAATGACCTCAGGCCCCTGGAGGTCATCTCCCTGCGCAGAGCCCTTCAGTGGCTTCTTGCTGACTTCATGCCAAGACCCATGTTTGTTCCGGTGGGTGCCATGCCTCCTTCTTTCTCTCGACTCTTCCCCTCCATACAGCCTCTGGGCCATGTCGAGTTGCCTGCAGGCCCTTATGAACCAGCTGCATATCATGGTTTATCGCACCTGGTGCCTCTGCTCACACTGCTCCCCCCTCTAATGATGCCACTCTCTGTCATTGTCCCCACATGTTTGGTCAGCTGACTCTTACCTTTTAGAACTCAGGTTTCTTAAATTTGGGCTGGGTGCCCTGCTTTGTTCCCGGAGCTCTCTTTCTCATGATGTGGTTGTGCCTATGACCCATGGTCCCGTCGGTTGTAATCATTTCCTCTGCTTCCCGGGAGGCAGGCAGGGTACAGCTTTTTCACTGATTCCACATGGAGCGTTTGATGACGCTGATGATGCCAGGGTTTGGTAGCCATAAGGGGCAGTATTCTTCCTTCCTCTTAGACCCGAGCAGAGTTTCTCAGTGTGCCTCTTACCCAAGAGGATGGGCCCCCGGGCTTGTGGAGGGGACTTTTGACCAGCAGTTGGCACCTCAGGAACAGTCAGCGCTGACGTGACCGTTGTTCTCCCCACAGGCACTGGTGCCATCACACGGTGACACGGACGGTGTCCTGCCAGGTGCAGAACGGCTCGGAGACAGTGGTCCAGCGCGTGTACCAGAGCTGCAGGTGGCCCGGGCCCTGTGCCAACCTTGTGAGGTAAAGGCCGCAGGGCTGGCTGGCTGGCTCTGCCCTTCTTTTCTGTTCCCTTGGATGAATCCAACCCCAGCACAGCTGTGAGGGAGGCGGTTTGACACTCAGAAACAAGAGTCAAGCATGCATTTATGCAACAACTTCTGTGCCAGGCCGGGGCGGGGGGGGGGGGGGGGGGAGGAGAATGTGTGTGCAAAGATGGATTTGCTCCCCACCCTGGCATAACCTCACAATCCAGTGGGTGTGTGATTAGCAGAAATTCCTAATGGTCAATGAGAGGGGGAGGGGATAGGAGGGCAGGAGAGGCTGAAGACAGACCAGCTGCTGTGGGGCTCCAGACTAGAATGTGGGTCTGTGATGCCCTTGAAAGTCCCTCCTGCCTCCAGCCCGTCTCTCTCATAGCTCTGCCTTCTCACGAGCCCCACTCTGGACTGTAGCTTTCAGTGGCTTTCAGCATTCACAGATTGCCGAGAGATTTTTTTTTTTTTTAACTATTGTATTTAAAAAAATATATAGTCTATTGATTTCAGAGAGGAAGGGAGAGGGAGAGAGAGAGAGAAATATCAATGAGGAGAGAGAATCATTGATTGGCTGCCTCTTGCACACCTCCTATTGGGGATCAAGCCTGCAATCCAAGCATGTGCCTTCACTGGGAATCAAAGTGGTTCATAGGTCGATACTCAACCACTGAGCCACACCAGCAGCTCTTGCTCTACTTTAACCATTACTGCAGTCTCTAGGTCATAGATATATCCTAGGTTTCTTTTCTTGCTTAAAATAGAAATATAACTGACATATAACATTGTATAAGTTTGAAGTGTACAACCAATTGATTCAGTACATTTATATACTGTAATCTGATGGGTACAGTAGTGTTAGCTAACACCTTTGTCACTGAATTATCTGGATTTCTTGTCATGACAACATAAGAAAGAGAGAGAGGAAGGATGGCTCGTGTCCATGAGGGCTGGTGCAGATTCGTCAGGATCCATGCGATAAGTTTTAGTTTAGCTTGTGCACAAGCGTCCACCAAATGCATCATCTGAGGTGAAGATATGATTGCGTTTGGATGGGTGTTAGTCAACATCTCACTGGGAAAGGAAAAGGCAGTTCTCATCATCACATAACAAACTCTAGCTCCTCTTCACTTCCTGTATGCTCTCCTGTTCCTTTTCCTTTCTGACTACTGAGGAAGGAGTTCTCGGTTCTCTTGGGCCTGCGCTGGCCTCTCCCCTGAATCCGGGGACTGTGCCTGTGGTGGGCACACCCCGTGGCCCCAAGGAGCAGGTGAGGGGTGGCTATTTGCAAGAGTGGGGTGAGTGGATGGAGCTGGGACATGAGGGCTGGTGCCACACAGTGTGTGTGTTGAGCTAGGTGTAGAAAGAATAGGAGTGGGGTTGGGATCTCACTTGTTTTGATTGTAAAAATGATTATTGGACCCACCTCCTGACGCTACTGGGGGCAGGGGAGGGTGGTCAGTGCCTGTGCTACGGCGTTTATAGGCCAGAGTCTGGCTTGTAGTAAGCCCTGCAAGTTGGCTATGACTGCTGAGAAGAGACTGAAATAACAAGTGAGGAGCAATGGCTGGTGAGAGAACGCCAGAGCTATTCGCCCCTGAGCCCTTGGGGCACTGGCCTCAGTGACCTCCTGCTGGCCGCCCCTGCTCAGCGCAAAGTGTGGGTGAGGGCAGGAAGGAGTTTCTGCATTTCTGCGCAGTTAGATTTGGGGGTCAGAGTGGCCAAAATCCTTGGTGGGGCCTCCCTTGTAGAGGGCTATGAAGTCATCTCATTGCATTCTGATGACATTTTTATGACAACGTGTGCAGGTGGGCGCAGGGAGGGTGTGGTTGTGAAAACGTGAGTGGAACAGAATCTGGGCACGGCGAAGCCTGTTTGGAATGCTCATGGGGGCTGGCATGTGCCCCAGACCCCTCCCTGTCTCCTCACCTGCTCCCCCTGCTTTCCTTGCTCTATTCCTTCGCTCAACATTTCCACAAATATTTATTGAGAGTATACTATGCGCTGGGAGTGGGGTGAATAGGATAGAGAATTAGACCAAATCCTCTCATGGGATTTATATTCACCCAAATATGAAAACAAGAAGAAATACCCACTCCTGACGAGAACAGGACATTGAAGCAAGGTGATGTGACTGAGCACGAACTGGAGGCAGGAGAGAGACTCTGAAGAGATGACACTGATGCTGAGCAATGAGTGATGAGAAAGAACCTCCGTGTGAAGATGGGTGAAGACAGTGCAAAGGCCCTGGGTCAGAGAGAAGCAGAAAGGGGAGGAGGAGAGTACAGGCAGAGGTTGAGTTTGAATTTTATTGAAAGTATATTGGGAAGCCATTGAGGGTTTTAGTAGAGATGAGGAATGCCCTGATTTGGGTGTTTGTTTTTAAATTAAACACTTGGGATAATGGTAAATTCACAGAGAGATCCCATGTCCTTTTTACCTTGTTGCTCTCAGCGGCAACATATTGCAAAACTATAGTTCAGCGTCATAACCAGGATCGACACTGATGCAGTCAAGATTCAAAGCATTTCCTTCCCCACAAGGACCCCTCCTGTTGCCTCTTTATAGTCACCCCTGCATTCCTCTGACCTCCCCGCTCCTTAACCTCTGACAGCCACTATCTGCTCTCCACTTCTATAGTTTTGCCATTTCAAGAATGGAATCTGACAGTATGTAACCTTTGGAATGCACTGGTTCACTCACCATAATTTTCTGAAGACTCACCCACGGCTGATGGGTGTGTCAATAGTTATTCCTGCCCAGGCCAGGAGGGTTCGGCTCTGATTCCTGGTTATGGGCACATACCTAGGTTGTGGGTTTGATCTCTGGTCTGGGCACATGCGGGATGCAACAGATCAATGTTTCTCTCTCACATTCATGTTTCTCTCTCTTTCTCTTTCCCTTCATCTCTTTCTAAAATCAATAAACAACAACAGATTCTCAGGGGAGGATTTAAAGAAATCTCTTAAAAAAAAAAGTCTGTTCCTCCATTTTATTTTATTATTTTATTTATTTTTTAAAAATATATATTTTATTGATTTTTTACAGAGTGGAAGGCAGAGAGATAGAGAGCTAGAAACATCGATCAGCTGCTTCCTGCACACCCCCCACTGGGGATGTGCCCGCAACCAGAGTACGTGCCCTTGACAGGAATCAAACGCGGGACCCTTGAGTCTGCAGGCTGACGCTCTATCCACTGAGCCAAACCAGTTTCAGCTGTTCCTGCATTTTAAAGAAGGTCATTCCTTTTTATTGCTGAGTAGTATTCCACAGTATGGACGTGCCACAATAAGTTTAATCATTCACCTGTTGAAAGACATCTGGGTAGTTTCCAGTTTGGGGCTCTTGTGAATAAAGCTGCTATAAACATGCAGGGCTTTGTGTAAACATATTTTCATTTCTCTGGGTACATGCCCAGGAGTGCAATTGTTGGGTCATATGGTAGTTGCATGTTTAGTTTATTAAGAAACCACCAAACTGTTGCCAGAGTGGCTGTACCCTTTTACATTCCCACCAGCAAAATCTGAGTGATCCAGTTTCTCTGTATCCCTGCCAGCATTTGGTGTTGTCATTGTATTTTATTCTAGCCATTCTGCGCAGTCTATTTCCTTGTGGTTTTAATTTGTGTTTCCCTAATGGCTAATAATGTTGAACATCTTTTCATGTGTTTATTTGCCAATTGTACATCTTCTTCGACAAAATGTCTCTTCATGTCTTTTTCCCATTAAATGGGCCATTTATTGTGCATTTAATTGGATTATTTGTGATTTTACTGTTGAATTTTGAGATTTCTTTTTTAAAAAAAATATACTTTTATTGATTTTTTACAGAGAGGAAGAGAGAGGGATAGAGAATTAGAAACATTGATGAGAGAGAATCATTGATCAGCTGCCTCTTGCACACCCACTACTGGGGATGTGCCTGCAACCAAGGTACATGCCCTTGACTGGAATCGAACCTGGGACCTTTCAGTCCGCAGGGCCCATACACTGAGCCAAACCGGTTTTGGCGAGATTTCTTTATATATTCTAATATTAGTTCATTTTAATTATTGGTTAGCAAATATTTTCTCTCACTCTGTGGCTTGCCTTTTCATCCTTTTCAGAGTCTTCCGCAGAGTGAATACACGCACACACACACACACAAACACACACACATTCATGTGCATGTATTGTGCGTTTTATGTTTTCAGTGTTTTGGTATCATCCATGGCACAGGGGTAAGGTGCAGGTAGGAGGCTGAGTAAAAGAGTACCAGGAAGCTCTAGGGCCAGGGCCATAGTGTATCTCATGGATTTGAAGGTGCCATTGGTAGGAAGAAGTGCATTATCTTTTAATTACTAAGAATGCTGCTAATTAAACTATAGCACATCATATCACAACTGTAATATGAACTCCAATGTCGGAGATGTTACATGTAACTGTCTGATCCTGAAACAGTCCTGGTGCCCTACTCTGAGAGGTGGGTTGAGGAGGAGAGTCCAGCGGAGGGGTGAGAAGGAGCAGCCAGAGCAGGAGGAGGTGGGTTTCCTGGGGATGGACTTTGGGAGGGAGGAAGGGGGAGGGGGAGTCTCCTAATACTTTCGGGAGTCTGGTGGGATGGAGGCCAAGGCATGACCATTGGATTTGGGAATGTGAGGTCCTGGGCACCCCGGCTAGTGCAGTTTTGGGGAGTGGAGGGGATGGCGGAGGAGATGGCACGGTGGAGGAGAAAAATGGAAGTGAGGAAACAGAGCCTGGGAGACTAGAAAACTCTTTAGAGAAGTTTGCTGGGAAGGAAGCATGGAATGAAACGGGGCTCAGCATGAGGTCAGTGGAGACTGGTTTGGTTGGTTGTTTTTAAGATGGGAGATACCGGGGCATGTGTGTAAACTGCCTGGAATGATCTGGGAGAAGGCGGAGCTGGGTGGGGACTGGCGGAGAAGTGAAGTTCAGAGAAGGAGCCTGGGCTGGGGAGGGGGCAGTTGGAGTGGGAGCGAAGGGGGCCTTG